CATCTTCTTACTGAAGGGTGATCGAGGTGCGGCCGATAAGAAAAAAAAAACTGCTTGCTGTATGCAAAAGCACATTTCTCGTGACGTTTACAATTGCTCTCTTCTATCACTCATTAATCACTGATCATCATCAATCATTAATGATGTTTGCATATTAAAAGAGCAATATATTTAGTTATTTATTTATTTATACACTCAAATGAGTGCGCCAACAAGGGAATTAGGGACAGGAATAGAAATACAGAAGAACTCAACCAATGTCGAAAAAAATTAAAGAAAAAAAATACGCATTAGCAGCAAGAGCTGAAAGAAAACTCACCATATAAAAGTGCACATGCGTTGAACTCGCCACCACTCGGCCATCGGCAATCCACTTGAGCAATTTTTCAACGTAGGATAAAGGCAATGAGCGTACAACTAACTCAACTGAAATGCAGCACTGAAATAGGCTAAACAATAACAAAAGCAATAAAAACTTACTTTGCTCCAAAGGTGTGCTTTCCATACTTCTTTGTATCAAAGGCGTATCGTTCAGTCGTAAACTTGCCATTAAAGCAGTGGAATAATCATCCAATGAAAGGGCGCTGAAATAAATATTCAAACGTGGGTCCATTTATAAGTGAAATAGCGCTCGACTTACTTTTTAATCATTGCAGGCGTTGTCTGACTGTCTAATTGGAATGGATCGAACAAGCCTACTGTATCCAATGAATACACTCCAACGCCTTCTGTACTGCACACCGCGAACCGCCGACCTACAAAGGCAATGAAGAAAAATGGTTTGGTAAGCGGTAAGCCCCTAAAATTTCACACTTACCAGTTGGGCAATACGTCACTGCATAAACAGCTACTTGAGGTCGAGCTGATCGCTCCCCTAGATCGAAATGCTTCGAGCCAGGAAGTCGAATTGCTCGTTTTCCATCTGGCTCCGTCTCGGAATCTGACGAGTCAAAAAGCGCCATGTTACCAAATTCGGTGAAGTTACGCCGATTCACATCCAACTAAAAAGATTACACATCTACATAGAACGCTAGTACAACGACAAAGTGCCTTTCCTTTTTCCTACAAGAGTCCATTGGAAATGGAATGCTCCACGTCACAGTGCGAGTTCATTTGACTTATAAAATAACCTCAATTTTCTCATTTACCTACCAGCGCTACTAAAGTATCTATACACATCGCGAATACCAAGTCCAACCGGCATTCGTTTGCTCGAGGCCGGAACTGTCTTAATTGCGACCTTAGTTACTACAACGGCCTCGTTCCATCGTGAGAAACGCGAGTATCACATAAACCTATGCCAGCGGGCCTGAAGGGGGGCGGGGGGGGGCTTATTCTGATGCCTGCCGTTTCTGTTTAACACAGTGCAGCACCGAGAAGGTGAATATGCCAAGTATCTTTTGATACCGCGCCAGTTACTCCGGCGCGCCACGCAAGCAATGGTGAGTGGTCTACTAGCTATACACTGCCATGACTCAAGCGTAAGATCTACAATAAAGAACGAGAAACTTACCACGACACCGTCAAGGCTGCGATTTTCTGTGATAGTGAATTTTTTCACAAGCATGTCGATCCACCGACCGCTACCATGCAGAAGTTGTTCCGATTCTCCGCCACCCAGCAAGAGCAGCGCGCTGTCAGGAGAGAACTGCATACAGGTGAATGATCTAAATCGACAAATAAGTCAGCAGCAGAAAACTATCAATTTTGGAATCGTTATAATAACAAACACACTTGCTCTTAGCTGCATTCTGCCTAGTAATCAAATCAGCTTGTCCTCTTGAAGGATCCAGGTCCAACCTGGCATCAATCGATCCGATGAAGGCCATCTTAACTTGAGATATTTTCATCAATTCCCTTTCTCAAATCCTTTTCAGATTAAAGATTGTTAAGAATTATTGGACGGAATCAACAATGACGTAAAACCAGAGGGTTTTAAGCTTTTCCTTTTGAGTTAAAGACATCTGATAACCTACATCTTTCGCATGATAAATATGTGAGCGTTAACCACCCGTAAGCACGGCCTACTAATTGTCAAACAATGGCGAAAAAGCCACTGCGAGACCTCAATGTTGCAAGTCGTCTCCTGCAGCACGTCGACTCCACGATGTTCCATAATGCTTGAATCGAAGAAGGACTTCAACAGTTGATACGATACTTGGCCATGTTAACTGTGCTAGTAGAACAGCTCAATGAGACGATGTATAATCACCCACTTCAGCGTTCGATCCCATGAAACGCTAGCTAAGGCATTTCCATGCATACTTATGCTAGCAATATTTGATTGATGTCCACTCAACACATCTAGTAATGACCCATTTTCCATACTCCACACAAAAATCTGAATAGTAGCCCGATTTGCATTACCTTCAGAATTGGAAGATTAGGCTTGACTGTGATTTAGAACGTACACTAAACACTTCCTTCGCACCAGCTACAACTATATCGCCGGACTGATCTACGGCTAAACTACCAAGTTGTGTTGGCTCAGGACACACAAGGGTACGGAAATTTCGATACCTTAAACAAATTGTTAATACAAACACCTTTTCAATTCTCTCTTATCGCAGAATGCTCCTTATCGCAGAAAAAACCACTAAAAGACATTGAGATTGGAGCTTACCCTTTTTAGATCGTGAGTCCGCGTACGGTTTCCATCCGAGATGGCGCTGTAGAATTCGTCTTTGCCGGCTCTGCGTCTCCGCAATGCCTGTTACAGCCGAAGTGTGTTCATCGAAAGTCACCGTACAGAAGGCGGTATGGCCATTCCAAATTTTTACCTGTAGAGATTTCTAATCACGTCACCACTTTATATAGACATGCGTCTCAGAAAAAGGAATATTACGACCACGTGGTACACTGTAGGCAGGTGAGATAACTCACGCCAGCATTGAAAATAAGTTCCCAATGCTGTTAGCAAAGTCACTTATTTGGGTAGACATCATCTTTGTAGCCAAACATGGTAGAGCTCATACGCCCGTAATTCCCCACCTTTTCCATCCTCTGCTCCAGTACCTAGCAAAGAACCATCTGGCGAGTACTGCACCGCTAGAATTCGTTGTGAATGTGCTTGTTGTTTTAGAACATAAGTCTCAGATTGCCATTCCCACACCTAAAAGTGAAATCCTTGAAACCACGCAGAAAGCACAAAAAACATACTAAACTGACCACCAATTGCGCAGCTGATCCTTTACCGCAACCTAATGCCAACCAATCACCTGTATTATTGACTGCAACGCTGGTAATCTGCATATCCGATACCCTGAACATTATTGAATTGCACAGTTCGCTTTTTTATCAAGAATATATTCGTAGAGCAAAGAAAGAAGAGCTAAACTAACCGTAAATTATGTATGAGAGCAAATGATGGTACTTCGTGAAGAACAAACACACCATTAGAGTAAGCTGTTACTAAAATATTCGTCGTCGTATGTATACGACAAGAAGTAACATCGATTCCGGATTTACCGCTGCCTGATGATTCCAAAAGAGAGTACCTAGAACAGCATTTTCTCACTGAGTCGGTTAGCAGTTGGTCGAGGAGGGTTTTTCCAAAGATATATGAAAGTTTATATATAAAGGAACTAGCACGCTCATTGTGATAAAACAAAAGCTTTTACGGACTAAATTACTGGACTAAGAAAACCCACCGTACCCATCCCCCCCACGCCTTTCCCCTTATCTGCATTCCATGTCTTTATATTCAATATAAACACAGGTACGTTAACATCTTCAAAATTTTAGGGGCTCTCAAGTAAGAAGCACCGTCAACCCCGTCAGGATTGTTGATTTACACCACGGCCCGACACTTTCCCGAGTATGGATGGCATGCGGCAAAACAACGCAGTGAATCAAAATCGGAGATTTATCGTTGGTTTTTCACACCAGCACGACAGAGGAAAGGGGATCAAGGTTTGCTAAACTGACCTCTTCGTTTTTTCATAATAAAGTCTTGTCACTGATTCGTCTTCGCTTTCCATTTCATTTTCCTCCGGTTTTGTCCACTTCCCTGTGAATTCATTGATTATTATAGTCAGCGCTAATTTTTTCATGAGCAATTACTCCTAAACAACCAAATTCTCACCGCAACCGAAATGAAGCCAGTTAATATTGGGTCAAAATGAGTATAAAAAGGAATTAGAGTTCAGATTCTGCAGTGGCTTTTGCTTTTGCTTGTGGAACTTGATTGCGTGTTTTTCAAATTTAAACCCTCACTGCGAATTTGCACCCACAGACAATAAATATCATCTACAGCAGTGGGTAGGTTCACTTACCTTCAACAAGATCGCCTGGTTGAATCGATGCCGTCCAAACATTAGCGATACCACGTTTACAAACAGATATCAACTAAAATACAATTCCAGCTGAAATAGTGAGAGCAGTGAAATTACAAATAGGCAAGGCAACCTACATCATAATTACCGTTGATAAACTGGCATGTTACTATAGGCCCTTGATGGGCAGCCAAAGGATGAATGAAAAGGTTGCGATAGTAACGGGCACCCACAACACGAACAATATGATCTTCTCCACCAGCTACAATGAGGCTAAAAAACTACAATTTAGGCTACGCTTTCAAACGTCCACATAATTACAGCGGCGAAATGCCTACATAAAACTAAAGATCTAAGCAAATCACATTAAATAACATCAACAGCAATCTCAGAACATAGCAGGAGGTTTTTTCTATCGCTACAAAATTTAACGACAGGTTCATACGAATTGAAATAAAGTAATGGAGTGCGTCAAATTAGGTAAGCTTTTAATTTTCAGCGTAATCACGCAGAAGCAGCTATACATAGATATAGTTGGCAATCGTTCTCAGCAACTGTCTCACTAAACCCACGAGATCAACTTCAACGAGATTTTAGGTTAAAAAATAACGATTCATTGATTACATAAATATAGGTTAGATAGGCAGCAGTCTCACAAAAGCCTACCATCCATCGCCAGACCAATCGACACAGTTCAACGTCTCCGAGGACAGCTTGTACGTCATCGAAAGATGGAACGGATAGTACATCGACGTCGACTGTTTTCCAATCTCTTGGATTTGTAAATCCATATCACGGCATATTGCAATGAATCTGAAACATCAATCAATGGCTTGATCCAAACAAGAACAACAATCTATATCTATCCATACTTCCCATCCGGTGAGAACTGCACTGATCGGACGGTTCTGTTTGCACGGAATTTGAATATCACAGTTTCTGTGCTCATGTTGATATAAAGAACATGACCACCTACAAAACATTTTACTACACATTTATTGAAAACTATGACAATAAAAATAGAAAGTAATTACAAATGGCTTGAGAATTATTATTCACATCAACAACGTGTCGCTTAAAACGTACCTTCGTTGGAAACAATCATGTGCGATCCAGTGCTATTCATAGCAACTGCCATAATATTGTGCATACAATCAAAACACAACGTCCTTGACACATTACTGAAAAAGTTTTGACACCTTTTTTATCCATTCATTTCATTTTTATCCATTCTTTTCAATTTCTAGCGATATGCGGAGAGGGAGGGGTGGAGGGAGGGAGTACGGCAAAAACACATAAGGATTAGTTACACTTTTCAGTAGTCTCAAAATGATACAATTTGTAAGCGACATTGCGAAAGACAGTTTATTCGATGACTGACGTTTCGCGAAAAAATATAAGGTAACGCCGCAAGGTCAGCCGAATAAACTGTTATTGTCTCGATTACTAGCCAAAATATTTTGACATCTATAGCAAATGACGAGATTCATTGAGAGCTGAACGTATACGCTAAGCTAATGCCAAACCCGGAGCTTACTACTGATAATACAAGAGTATATTCTAATCTACTGAACATCTTCAAAAATGACTCTTCGCATTGGAGCACATCAAAAGATTTGCCAAGGGAACTATGGCACAGAGTTCAAAGCTGAGACCGTCTTTGAGCCTCAGACGGCCCATTGGCGGAATATCATATCTGAAGACGATAAGGGCAGAGAACAACGACCATACTGTGCTTGTAGAGGGACATTTCAAGAATAATTTGCCATAAGTCCACTACAGCAGCGGCACCCTGGACGACGAAGAATTTGCTGATTGATGCTGTTATAAGCAGAACGTTCGTCCCCCTTACCCCACGATCCAGAAACTGAGACAAGCGTGTTGTGCGAGAAGACATCGAGCTCTTAACGATAACGGGCAGAGACAAGCGTGTTGTGCGAGAAGCACATCGGAGCCCTTACTGAATCTCAAACTGTGAACCGTATCCCGTTCACAATTCACTTCTCAAATGGGTATAGGCGCTTTCTTAGTCGGTTGTCCGATCGTAACGATCGCACAGCATTAGATCGCCCGAGCCGATCGGACGTGTCGGACGATCGAAACGATCTGACGTTATGCGCTCGTTACTGTCGGACGACCAACTATGGAAAGTCTCTATGTCATGAGTGAAACGGGTGAAACAGGGATGGGAAGGAAGGAGCCAAAAGAGCTGATAATACGCAAACATCGCTTCCCTCTTCACTCCAAGGACATAAAAAAAGATCGCTCAAATAGTAATAAACTTGCTCGATACATGTACTTTCAGACCGCCGTCACACTCGGCGACGGACAAGCGATGGAGCGATCACGATCCATCGCTTGTCCGTCGCCGAGTGTGACGGTGGTCTTACAAATTCTCTTCTTGTACGTGTACCAATAAAATAAGAAAGCAGGGAGAATGAAGCATGGAAACAAAGCTACACAAAAAATAGAGCACAAAGGGTACCATAAGCAAATATTAGTATCGATGTAACTAAGAAAAAAAGTAAAATAACGAGGAATATCGTGTAATTGAACTAGGAGCAAAAAGAAAGTATTACCAATATGAAAACTCACTTTTTCAAGTCGAAAATCGAAATTTTGTTTCCAACCGGGCTTATCACGGAGTTCCCGTCTGGCGAGAATATCACATCTCCGTTTCGATAGACAGAACCAATGAGGTTCGAAAACTGTAATGATCTCGGTAGATCTTTTACACTATATACACAAAAGCAGATTGAACATGAAATGAAGAAATAGCGAAATGGCCAACTCACACGGAAATTCAAGTCCATAGAAGACCCAGCCGAAACTCACTTCACTTTGAAACCCTCACTGTCTAAAAGCAAAGAAAACTGAAAAGGGGGTGTGGTTCGCTAGAACAGAAAGCGACTTTTCGCGTTTCGCGCGCGAAACTTTTTTCGTGTGGAACCCCAGGTCCACCCCTAATCATGACTGGACCCGGGGTTCCCGCAACGAGAAAAGTTTCGCGTTCGAAATGCGGATAAGTCGCTTTCTGTTCTAGTAATCACAGCCGCGGAAGTGTTCTATAGAGAGGATAAAAGGTCACATAAGGGCAATTCATACTTTGCGATCGCGCGACCGCACAACCGCAAGATCTATGCGGTCGCACGATCGATACGTGGCTGTCCACACTCAAACAGCGAACCGAACTGCAAAGCACGATCCGACCCTCTATGTGCACAGAATGTGCGACGCTAGAATTCAGAAGGGTAAAAGTGAGCTAAGAGACAACAACAGAGTGTTCTAGTTGTTTAGTCAAAAATGCAAGGTGGGAGCTTTAGCGCTAGACAATTAAGGGTGGGCACGCTGCATTTTTTGAACAGAATGTATGTAAGTGGTACCTACTGCCTCACTACTATACTGTCACAATAATCGGGGAATTCGTGAGCCAGGGGGCAGTGTAGCCAATGGGTAGGCTAGGGGGGGGGGGGGAGGGGGCAGTCACTGGACATGCGCTGGAGAATTTCACGTCCCGCACTCCTACTTGTATACAGAGCCGAAGCTTCAGCTAGGCGAGCTCTGGCCCGGGAACCGCCACTCTCACACAGCAGTCCCGCAACAAACTGCTGGTTTATTTACTTTTTTTCAGTCTTCAAAAGAAAAAAAAACTAGCGATTTCGTTCAGCGGCCAGCTCCATTGCAAAACGTGGACCCATCACTGCCCCCCCCCCCCCCCTCCTCCTGCATCACCCTCCAAGGTCACCAGACGTCAAATAAGCTTAAGGATTTTACAGCGAAAACTTCTTGGAGTTCCAAAAGCTCTCCACTGTGCAATCAACACGTCGAATACTCAGCGCAAAGGTGGGCGGAACATTGGCCGCTTGCCAACATTTCCATCCGTCGTTCGCGGCGGTCGATATCGTGCCTCGCCCGCGCTGCCGCAAGCCGAGTATTCCGTATTGCCGTTGGTAGGTTTGTGACGTCATAAATAAAGTTTTTTCTCAGAAAATAGAACATCGTATGATTGTCTTCCACTTGAATTGTGGGAAGCGTTCTCTATTCAGTTTATTTTCTCCAACATTCGGACGATTGTCAAAGAAATTTCTGCGGAAACGGTTTTCCTTCTTTTAAGGATTAATCCTAGACATTGCCCAGCGCTCTTGGAAAAACTCCTCTGGAACGCTTGCCGGTTTTAAGAGGACTTAATATTGTTTCGTTACAATAATTTTCCCGGAGTGGAAATGCTAAACAATTTGTTTTTGTGAAGTACTGCCTTCAACATTGACGATATCGCATCACTAACTTCAAAGTGGAGCTGTGCAAAATTTAAGAATTACGGGCGCTCATGTTGTTGGGAGGACATTCAAGTGAGTGAGCCCGTTGCTGTGCTTGGGAGCCTCAGGAAGGGGAAGGATTCGGATGTAAGTCGCTAGGGACAGAATGCGACTTCTCCGCTGGCAGCACGAAGCTTCTTCGCTGCGGAACAACTTGAACTCGGTCCTTCAGGCCGCCTCAATTCGATGCTCTCGTCTGTGCTCTCTCGCCGTATGGCCGATGTCAGACTTTGCGAATTGAGCAATTCGCTAGCGTCCGCGGTCGCGTCAAGGCCAGCGGATCGCTCGATTCGCAACAAGTTTCTGACATCGGACTATCAGTCGCTCATGACCACTACATTCAAGCTTTTGCCACACTGTAGTTGGCTCACCCGCCTCGGAGTCCCTCCCTCTTCAAGGCTTAGGGCTCACACCTTCATCCTTGGGATTTGGAGCCGCGCCAGGCGTCTTCTTTGATTCCCTGTGCTCTCCGCCACTCGTGGGAGGACCATAGAAGAAATTCAAGTAGTCTGACCAGGGGCGGTATTCAATCCTTCCCCCAGGGGGATATATCCCCCTACTCTGATTCAATCCTCTGGGGGGACAAAAAGGGTTGCGTCATAGGACCTAGCATACCTCTGTGTTTCTACCTGCCAGACAGTTAGAGCAGCGCGACCCCTCAGGGAAAGAGTGCTTCATCAGTGGAGGGTAGTAGCGCTGCTCTAACTGTCTGGCAGGTAGAAACACAGAGGTATGCTAGGTCCTATGACGCAACCCTTTTTTGTCCCCCCAGAGGATTGAATCAGAGGGGGGATATATCCCCCTGGGGGAAGGATTGAATACCGCCCCTGGTCGTAACCCCAGGTATTCGCCGTTCGTGAGCATTGTAACGCATTATGTGGTTCTCCTCTAGCATCCTTCCCTTTTCCTGCCGCCAGCCTCTTGCTACATCTCACGCATCACCCTGGTCTGAATTGCTTGGTTTTCCGCTGAGGGCGTGAGCCCCAAAGTAGGTAAATGACACTTAGCAGTTGTTGTAAATTTCACTTCTGCCGTCGTTGTTAGGTGGAACTCTTCATTTGGCCAGCGCTTCGATCCGTCTCGTCGTTTTCAAAGGCCTTTTCCACCGCGAAGTGTAGGCGAACCGCTACACACAATCTAATTCGCCATTGATGTACCTGACGTGTGTAGCGTTACATACAACTTCGCGTGGAAACAATGGCCTTTGGAAAACGACGAGGACGTTCAAACGTTGGACCAATAAATTTTCCACTTAACACCTCGAGGCCAGAAGTAAAATATACAGCGTACAGCAAAGCAACCGCAACAACGCCCGAGGTTCAAGATGAAGAGAGCTGTGATTACACTTACGAGGGGAGGTCTTTCAGGTGTACCCGCGCTTTCTCAAAACGGTTTTTTGCATGATGTAGAGGGATGTGCGTGGATTACAGAACTGTAGTCCATTTCCGCTAAATGGCTCTCTGAATGCCAAAAAAGGAGTGAAAATAATTTCGTCGGATAGTGCAATTTTTGCGCACTCACCGTGGTTTGTTTCATTTATGGCGTGGACTGCTTGCATAACGAAGGGTTCTCGCAAGCTCTGTATCGAAAACAACGCGAAGTTTGGCCAAAATTGGAAAGTTGTCGTAGTGATGACATGCTATGTAGTGAAGAGCGTGTGGAAGTTTCATGGGTGCATTTGGCTAAAGCATTCGGCAGCGTCGGTGGTGTAGTGGATAGCGATATGGACTTCAATTGGCACGGTTGGACGGGGTTGCTGGTTCGGATCCTCGAGATGCGCAAATTTTTGCGTTTCTTGTTGGCACTTCCAGATCTCGATCTCGAGGCTCCAAGT